CCCTAGTTCTCTGGAACGTAAAGGCAGGAGAGGGGGGAGGCGCTTTCAGACTTGCAAGATTCGGTTACTGTAACCTTACAATAAAAGTCGGGTTAGTCTTCATGGTTTGGGCTTCCTGGTCTGGACTACCTTGCAGGGCTGACATGCAAAAAAGGGGCTTCAACCACACTACTGCAGGCACCATCTTGACTTTCTTTACTCTCCCTTGCAGATTCCTCCATAAGCTTGTCTTTTCTCGTCTGTGACATGCTGTTTTCAGTGGCTTCCCACTTCAAAATGGCCAGGGGGGAGGCTGCGACTTTAAAGGGGGCTTTAATATAAGGCTGCAAAAAAGGGAGGTTGTCCACCTTCTGACACACCTGATTTCTTCCTTTTCTTGTTCAACATACAAAGCTAGTGTGATAGAACTGGAAAACGTCCCCAATGGTCCATTGCTGAAAATTGTGCTTCCCAGAAAAGTCAAATCTATAATTCTGTTTTTCTGCCTACTGCAGTGCAATGTGGAGATCACCAAGAGGATAAAAAAAAGGGGAGAATTCTCGATTATTCTTAGACCACCCCCCGAGAGGCAGTTAAATTTGTGTTTTTGCTAAATTTGGAAATCAAATGAGGATTATTCCAAGCATTTCTGCGCCACAATCTGCTTTTTTTTTATTTTTTAAAATTGCTGACCGAGACAAGGTTTGAATCTGAATAAAACAGAGAGAAACCAGGTCCAGTTATCCACCTCAATGTGGTTTGTTTAACAAAGTAGGACTGTACAAAATGCTAAACAATAGCCCGTGGTTTATCATCCCCAACAACTGGATTCCCAACACCCTAAGCCCCCACTCAAGAAATTGCTAGGGTTTAGTGTGGAGCAGAATGACTCCAGAAGCGGAGAATTTAGAGTGGCTTTTCAAACCCTTTTAACTGCTTACTAGACAGAGCTCCTGTTATTAGTTGGTATAAAAGTACAATTTGTCATTATCATTTTTAACAGTAGGAAAAAGAAAATGCTGGTGGGTTGGCAGAGAAAGTGCTTGGCGGTACTGTTATTAACCTCCTCCGTTCACAGTTGGCTGCACCCAATTGGTGTTGTGTGGGTGGATCACCTCTGTTTGCCCCCCGCCTCCGCAGACAACGCTAATTAATTTCAGTTTTAATTCAGCAACATTTGGACTCCTACCGGGGGGGGGAGAACACACACACACACACTCTTGTCTGCCCATTCATTGGGGGGGTTAAGACAATGCAGCCTGAAAGGAGTGTGGAAGATAAGTGTGGGACCCATGGTGAGAAGAGGTGCTGAGTTTCTATACGATTAAGATGCCCCCCCCCAAATCAAAGAAGTAAATCCAACTCACCGTGGTGTCTCCCACGCTGGAAGCTGTTGCTTCAGTCTCATCTGAACCTGTTCAAAAAGAAAGCCACTGAGTTTGCAATTTGCACGAAGCCAGCAGGATGGGTCCTGGGGGAGAGGTTAGGGGATGCAACTCACCCCCCACTTCCAAAGGCCATCTGGAGTGACGCTTTTTGGACTTGTCATCTTTTGGAGAGAGTGGCAAGGTGGAAAGAGAATAAGGGGACTGGGGGAAGCAAAACGCCCTCTCCCCATCTTCACTCCCTCTCCAAACAGGAAAAAAAGCAGAAATCAAGCCATTTTGCCCCAAAACTGAGGCAGCACAGTCTTGACTTCCAGACATCGCAGGCTGCCCAGTGGTCCACTAAATCCTTGGTGGTCGGACCATGATTGGATAAACTCCCAGTGGGGCCGGGCTCACCCGAACAAATCCCGTACAGGCACCATAGGAACCAGACACTGGTGTTTCTGCAAGCATTTTAAAAATGGGAGTCTGGAGATTTTGGGAAAGTGGCATCGTAACACCCCTCTCCCCCAGAGAGACAAAAGAAGATCAACCCTTCATTGGCTCACAATACCACAAAGTTAAAAGGAAGAGCACCCCCTCCCTCCAGCCCAACAGGTGATGGAGCAGAGCCCAGTCCTTTTCCTGACTTTCAGTTCTGAAAGATTTAGGTTAGGGGTGTGGCTTTCACCAGGAGGAAGGGATTAAAGGCAGAGCCAATCATCTTGGCTGGGGGTGTGGCTTTCACCAGGAGGGAGGAGTTAAAGGTGTGGGCAATCATCTTTATTGTGCAGGTGGGTTGGGTCACCGGAGGAGCTCCTCACCAGGTATCCATGTTTTGTTCTGCTTTTCTTTTTCAGGAGTTAAGCTATCCAGAACAGATTCCTTCCCTGGAGATGGAGAGAACAAGATGGGAACAGAATTTGGAAAGGATCGAAGGGAAGTTCTGCTCAAACAAGTAGGACCGCTTCCGTTGGTGATCTCCCGATGTGCTGGAAGTACAATCCCCCGTCTTCCCGGCCAGGGAGGATGGGAGTTTTAATCCCACACACCAGGGGCACCAGGCTGCGGATCTGCGCTCCTTTCCACCCTAAGGTGGCAACCACATTTTCCTTCCTGTAGGCCAGTGTTTCTCAATCTTGGCCGCTTGAAGATGGGTGGACTTCAACTCCCAGAATTCCCCAGCCAGCATGGCTGGC